CCCGTTTTGCAGTGGCACAAACGCAAACCGCGAAGTGCCAGAAACAACAACAAAAAAAAAACGAATTAACTCGACTCGTTGTCTGACAGAGCAACCACGTGTCGCGGGTAGAACTCGAACCGACGATTCACCGAGTTGGGTACGATCGGCCCACGGACTTGTATATTAAATATATAAATCCGTGAATCGGCAATCCGACGGCGACTCGAGGGTGCTCCGAAGGTCGCCAAAACCGAACCAGTAAGAACGAATAGCCGACGCGCTGTATGAATGAAGTATTAGACTCGTCGGGAACCGCACCGAGCTAGTTCGAGTTCACAAAAAGTAGCTCGAATTGACTCCTTGTGGGAGTAACTCGAGTTAAATAGCTCGACTCACCCATCGCTCGCGAGTCGAGAGTAGTAGACTTGTCCCTGATCGGTCCTTAGAGGAAGCGGTCCTGGCTAATTAAATCGGTCAACTGAACTAGGTCGGTCTTCTAGTTCATTTAGTTTATCTAGTTCCTTAGATAAAGTCACATTTGACACTTGTCATCGTGACGCGAGTAGGGATGTGGACTAATCATATCGGTAATCACATTATACGATTTTCACGAGAAATCAATTCAAAATTTTAAGAGTTTGTAATTGTTTAATATTTTTCGGTTCATTGTTGTTTAGGAGGCATAAAAGACCTAATGGAAATTCTGTGAAAAGCAATTGATTTACACAATTCCTTGCAATTCTGTAGCAATTCCTCTCATTTTCGAAAAAATAATATTCATAAATGGTTTATTACGAGAATTTAGATTAAATATAATGTTCATCGATAAAACAACTACATAAAAAGATTAAATTACCAAGAAACCAAGGATTTCATGAATTTTCAATTATTCGGCTAGCAATTAGTCAAAAGTTGTCGATATCAACAACAAACAATCTCAAATAATGTACATAATTTAGAAAACAGGAACAGTCCAAAAGCAAAGCAGAGTCACAAGAAAAATACAAAAAAATAACCAAGTGCACAGTTAACTTCCAAGATGGCGAAAGACTGCGCAGTGCGCGGCCGCGGACTCCGGGTGTCGCTGGATTCGTATCAGTGTTGATGACCAAACCTGGCTAGGAGTACGGGGCTCTTATAAATTTGATAAATTATAAATTTATTTGCAACAGGTCAGAGATTTTATATACATAATTATTTAAAATACACCTATTTTTATGCATTTTTGTTTTAATATTTAATAAGCAACATTTCGGCGATTAATTGCTTACAATACTATTATTTAAAAAAAATAGCTTTAGGGCGTAACTGTTTTCAGGACGTTTCGGAGTAACTCAAAATTGCATTTTATATTGTAATTCGTGCGAAAACTCATTTTTCGCACGAATTACAGTTTTGTCACATTATATAATGTTGCATTAAAATTTATGTATTTTTTTAAACTCAATTATGCTAATAATTGTTTGTTTATTGTTTCGTTGATCGCATTCAAAGCTACATACTATCGCCTTCTTTAGCTGTCAAATGTGGCCGCTTATTTGGTGACGACTATAGTTAGTTCGTCTAGGACAAGACGAACTAACACTGCTCGGACATTGAATGAACGCTCCAAACTAGTAATTTTATTCACATGAACTACTACGCACTTCTAGTATTATGAGTTGACTACAATGTATTCAATATTTAAAAATACAATTTGTATGGAATCGATACTATTTGATTTTCCTTCATATTTTACTGGTTTAAAGACTGTCATTCTAACTAAATATCCTTTTTTTTTTACAAAATAACAATTTTAGTTAGAAGGGTGTGTTTAAATCAATATTTAGGTACAACTATTTCATATACTCGTACACGTAGGTTGATATTATACATATAGATACCTACCACACGTACATAATGTAGATACGTATTAGAGATTGGTCGTATTCCAGAACTCTACTCAATGCTTCAGTCGACTTGAGTATGATTTCAAGCACTGGAAATACGACCTTAATGGCAAGGGCTTTAGTATGATTTCTAGTGCTTTAAATCATACTCAAGTCCTGACTTGAGCATTGAGTAGAGTTCTGGAATACGACCCTTAGAACGAGCTGGCAACGTTCAATCGTGCATCCCACTCGAACTTGTACTAAAAGTAGTGAAAGATCGCCATTTGTCCCGCTCGCACCGTTCCTACTGAATAAAAGACAGGTGAACTAACAACGCAGACAGTTTCTAATTCGTACTGAACTAAAAAGGACGATGAAATAATAAAACCCTCTAAGACGAACTAGTTCATGTCGGGAATATATTCCTAATAGTTCGTAGTTCATGAATTGTACAAGCCTACTCCGAAGTCATCGAATGCGTAGCCTCTGCGCATTACGCTGTGTGAATGTGAGGGTCGTATTCCAGAACTCTACTCAATACTCAAGTCAGGACTTGAGTATTGCAGTGAGCACTGAAAATCATACTCAACTCCTTGCCATTAGGGTCGTATTTCCAGTGCTTGAAATCATACTCAAGTCTGCTCAAATCCTGACTTGAGCATTGAGTAGAGTTCTAGAATACGACCGTGAATGAAGTATCGGCTCGGCGAGGCGGGTACCGAACCGAGCTAGCTAGAGTTCTTAAAAAAGTAACTCGAGTTGATTCGTTGTGCGAGTAACCGAGTTAAAAGACGAACTGGTTCATGTCGGTCAGTGTCGGAAATATTTTCCTAATAGTTCGTAGTTCATGAACTGGACAAGCCTACTCCGAAGTCACCGAACGCGTAGCTTATGCGCATTACGCTGTGTGAATGAGAATGAAGTATCGGCGAGGCGAGGCGGGTACCGAACCGAGCTAGCTCGAGTTCTTAAAAGAGTAACTCGAGTTGATTCGTTGTGCAAGTAACCGAGTTAAATAACTCGACTCGCACATCGCTTTGCACTAAAGCACTGTTGTATTTTGACATTTTGACGTTAACTAATTTTTGTTTAATTTTGTGCGGAATTTAGTGAAAAAATATTTGTATAAAATTAGCGCCACAAACACAAAATGACTAGTTTGCTAAGAAGGGCTTTTCCTATTTCTAGGAGCGCTTCAATAATTTGCTGGCGATCGTTTGCTGATGCGGCGATCAAGGAGAGGATTGATAGTATAGTGAAAGAGAGCAAAGTTGTAGTGTTTATGAAGGGTGTCCCGGAAGCACCGCGATGCGGGTTTAGCAACGCTGTGGTGCAGATTATGAGGATGCACGCAGTTCCTTACAAGAGCCACGATGTCCTCGCTGACGAAAGTCTAAGACAAGGTTAGCTTTCGTTTCGTAACAATTCGTTTACTTTTTATTTTGTCACTACATTTTACTTTAAATTGTCTATATGTTCTGTCGTTAAATGTTGTCACTGTGGTTACTTTGCTTATCAATACTCATCATACAGCATGACTGTGGGAAACATTGGTCAGTTTTTAAAATTTTTATTGAATGGGTATTCAATTATTTTTTGTGAAATTGCTCCACTAGTTTGCTATAATTATTAATATAAAGATCTATGATGCCATCTATTGGTCAGTTTCTTTTTTTTTATTGGTATAATTTACATACCTATTTTCTTATACCATTTTTAGGTATCAAAGAGTACTCAAACTGGCCAACAATACCACAGGTTTTCATCAACGGTGAGTTTGTTGGAGGCTGCGACATCATGTTGCAAATGCACCAATCAGGCGAGCTCATTGAGGAATTGAAGAAAATTGGTATCAAAAGCGCCCTTCTCACTGCTGACGAAGTGGATAAAGAAAAAGCAGAAAAGTAGCAGTTCTCCATTTGTTAGTATAGATTTTAAATTTTTTAACAAGACATAAATAAATAAATTATAATTTATTACATTTTGATGTCTAAAGGTAGACTATAAAGCCACTGTTCTTTATTTTTTAAAGCATAATGCTAAACTACATAAGTAATACATTTGAATGTTCTCATATTTTTTGTGTTTCTGTCTGAACAATATATAGAAGACATGTTTATTGTTTCCAACTTAGATTTAGGTGTTGTAATTTGTTGCGTTTTTATTACTTTGAAGTATGTTATATTATGAAAATAATAAAAATTGTATACTGTGTTTTAGAGCTCTTTATTTAAATTAGCTGTACATTCAAGTTAGTATACTTTTGGGCACATATTCATCATTCTTAGTCTACATACCACTGCTTCCATCGCAATATTGGTTGGATTAACAACACAGTCATTAAAAGACAAAATATGGCAGATCATTTATTTTGAGTACTCATTCCAAAATACTCTCACAAACGATAAATTCATATAAAAATGATATTCAAAATGATAAATAAATAGATGCAGGCAAGTTATGGCAATCTATGATATAAATAAATTTGTGTGACACTTCCCTGCAACATTTATAAATTTAGAAAACTTAAAACAATATGTACCTACCATCCAAGTATTATAATTACTAATGGCAGTAATTAAAATTTAAAGTTGTATAAATAGTGTTTGCTTATGAATAAAAAAAATATAACAAAACATTCTCACAATGTGAATGAGTCTTATTTTGGTGTCACACATTAGTCCAGCCTAACATTAGCACCATCTTTATCTTACAAATTAAATGTTTGTGACTTCCCTGAGAATTTTATATAAAAGTTAAAAATACCTAATACTAAAGTATAAATATAGTTGTAAACATAGATGATTTCTCTGATTTGAGCCAAAAGGTTGCAGTAAACATTAAGAATTAAGTTTTACAGAGTGAAAGTTAATGGCGTTTTTGGTTTGAACATTGCACATGTTTTATAGAACTGATTTATAGACTAAAATTAAATTACAAAAATTTTTTGCATTACATTGATCGATATTTAGGGCGATAGGTGCAGTTGGATCAATGTAAATGAAATAATTTTTGTATCGCGACGCCCACCGCTGTGTCTGGGCCCTGCTGGTTAGTGTAGAGCGGTGATTAGGCGCGTCTTCTTAATTCTCCTAAGTAGCATCGAGAGAGAGATGACGTCGAGGTGATGACCGATGATGTTTCTTCTGACCTGTGTCTACATAGAATGATGTTTAGTTCATGTTTGCACATAATGTTTTTAAATAAGGTGGGCCTGAGAATTTGACATAATTTCAGGCATAGATCCAACTTTGTGGGTTGGATAGGTGCCATTTTATCAAGGCATGTTTGCATGTAAAAGTAAGTCATGGAAATAAATTGTCTTATACATGCAATATGTACAAGTCAGTATAATATAAATTATTATACAGTAATAAAATGTAAGGTATGCAAACCTCATAGTTCAGGTTTCCGAGGCTCCACTTCGTCTTCAATAATAAATAACATTCAATGTCTTTATTAATTTATAAATATGTTAATACTAATATATAAAGGTACCTAAAGATCGGTCTCGCCATATAGTGCGGTAGAGAAAGCCATGTAATCCAATGCACCGGGTGGTGCGTTACCCCCGCGATATGGAGGCATACGTGCAACGCAGTACTCTGCTTGGTCAGGTGGAAGCTCACGTCTGAGCTCTTCAGCGGTGATGTAGGGCTGTAGAAACGTACAACATTCACATTATTTTCATAATCCATCTCAATGTTTAGATTATTGGTGTAATGCCAATATTCTAGTTGACAATTCGTCTTTTGTCGACATAAGGAGAAACAACTTTGGATCAAAAGTAGTAGGAATTTATCACATACGTGATTACTAATATATCAAAATGACGATGAAGATGAAGAAACGAAAATGACGAATGTTGACATGTATATAGAGATAATATTATAAATGGGTCATTTTGCTACTCAGGGTCGTATTCTAGAACTCTATTCAATGCTCAAGTCAGGATTGCACTGGCAACACAAGCATTGGAAATACGACCCTAATGGCAGGGACTTGAGTATGATTTTCAGTGCTCACTGCAATACTCAAGTCCAGACTTGAGTATTGAGTAGAGTTCTGGAATACGACCCTTAATTTCAGTGGCAATATTATCATGAAGTAATTACTTAACATTCGAGTGTAGTATTTTGCGATAATATAGTCGTCAAATTTCACGATAATATAGTCGAACACTGAAATAATAAAAATTGCCACCGAAATGTGGTAAATGAATCTGAAAATTATCCAAGAGTGGAATTTGTTTATATTAATTACCTTGTCGCCAGCTAAGATCCTAAAGCTGTCAATGACCTGCTCAGCAGTGTCTGTGTCTGTAGATTCCCTAGTCATGAAGTCCAGGAACGCATCGAACGACACATAACCTGCAACAAGTGATAGTGTAATGTTAACGCGCGCACGCACGCACCCACACACACATACTCAATCCCCCGCACTAGGGAAACCCTGTGTAGCGGTGTAGCGATGGAACGAGTTGTATTTGTTTCAAATCGAGTTGACGTGAATGCTAACTCGAGTTCACTCGACTCGGTGTCTGACAGACAGCGTTGCCAATGCCAATTGTTCAAAATCCCCAAATTTGGGGAGAGCAAAGTTCATATTCCTCACAAATTCCCCACATCTCGAGTTATCATTACTTATTACAAATACATCGTTTGAAAATAATAAAGAATTAAGAAACTCAAAATGCAATCATCTATTACGTTTGCTATGAATGTAAACAGAATGTAAAATGTAAAGCAAATTATAAAATTAGATGCCTTAAATCGTTTATTTATTTTAATGAGATTCAACATTAATCAGTCTTTGAAAAAAAAATCTTTGCTTTACAAAATTAAGTAACTTAATTATTTGTTGCACATTTGGTGACACTATGTTGATGTAAGAAATAATCAATGAGTAAATTAAGTTTCGACGTATATTTAATATTTAAAGTTGACGAGTGTTAAGTTGTGGTGTGGTAGTAACTGTTCGGCTTTGTTTATCAATAGCTGATTTCGTTTTTCTTCCTACTGGACACCGATCTAAGCGGGAGAAAGTACTGCGAACTCAACACGCACCGACTGGTAATTTTACAATTCAGAACGAAGTGCTCTGATAATAATTATATTTAAGCTGCTTGTTAATAATGCGATTGAAAAACACATCGATATAGTTTATCACAGTGTTTTTATCAGCAACGATCAAACAAGCGATGCATCTGCAATCGATAGATTAAACAAAATGATAAAGTAAAAGTAAAATGTTAGAATCTTCACATAGTGCCAATCCCCACAAAATCCCCAATCGAGTTGAATTTTTTTGAAATTCCCCGCAATGTGGGGAATTCCCTACAAATTGACAACGCTGCTGACAGAGCAACCGTCGAAGAGTCGCGAGTAGAACTCGAACCGACGATTCACCGAGTTGGACACGATCGGCCGGCCGACTGCGACTCGAACGTGTTCGAAGGTCACCGACGCGCTGTATGAATGAAGTATTCGGTTCGGCGGCGGGCGGGGCGGGTCATCCAAGTTAGCTCGAGTTTATGAAAAAGTAAGTCGAGTTGGCTCGTTATAGGAGTAACTCGAGTGTACCGAGTTAAATAACTCGACTCGCCCATAGCTAAGCGGGTGCCATGGACACACATGGATACACAAATTATACCCAAACTCACAATATAAATAAATGTAAACCATACAAATATTTATCCCGACCCAGGAATCGAACCAAAGATATCTGCGTGGCAGATCAGCATGGTAACCGTTCGGTCATGGAAGCAGTTATATTTTTAGCCATATTTAAGTTTCACCTCTCGCATCTTTGTCAAGAGTCTTGTAAGCCAATGTAAAACTTGTACCTATGCTCGTAATCAAAGTTCTGTGCGAAGAATTGTGTCTTACGTCATTTATGTAGCTTAGTAGCAAGTTTAAGCAAGTTGCAAATCATATAACTTAATCTTTGGTTGAGTATACTAATTTATAGCATAATCACATTTCTAAGCCTCTCTTAAAAAGACGGATGTGTCTTACCTGTGTTGTTGGGGTCGACAACGGCCAATATGCGCTGGAAGTCTAGTTCGCCTTGCCTGTCCTTGCCAATGCTGTATCCGACCGAGACTAGACACGATTTTAGCTCCTCAGGCGCCAGGCGGCCTACAAAAGAGTATGCTCGCAATACAAGGGAAATAACAAAAGTACTTCCAAAGTTCTTGGAATTTTCAAAATTGACAAACTACAAAAATAAGGTTTATCCTTTATCCAACTTTATTGTTTGCTAAAGTGTATATTTATTGAAGGATTTCAAAGGTTTTAGATAAAAAAGAGTGTATAAATCATTTACCGGTACGGTTCTTGTCGAAGTGGTTGAAAGAAGCGCGGAATTCGGTAAGCTGTTCTTGAGTGATGCCCTTTGAGTCGCGCGTCAAGATTTGGTTCTCGACTTCGTTGATAGTGCGGTTGATAGAAGTCAAGAGTTGTTCCCAGCCGACGCGGAGTGTTTCCATTGTGTACTGTGAATATCTGTGACAAAATTGAATTTTTATAATCTCGAAGATTTTGTGATGAAACCAATAACGAGAGGCTTCAAAGAATACTCCTATAATACAAAGCTTAAGTTTTACAAACACTTATTATCTAACAGTTTATTAATCGTGTAAAATTAATAGACATGGCAAAAATTTACTAAACGGCGACTTACACGTTGCAAAATTTATTTGATAATTTCTTGCTTATATAGTTAGCTATTTTTAATTATTCGAAGTCAGATTGTTACGCTCTCGACGTCGAAAAATGCACGTGATAAACGTACAAATAGATATGGGAGCTATTTCACAATGTGACGGAATTTTTAACTTGAAATTGAAGATTTGAGAGAAAATAATTATTAAACGATTTTCGAACATTTTGAAAACAGCGAGGAATACCTGTTCTCGAAGATCATGCCCTCCTGGACTGCCTGGTGGATACGCTCGAGTTCCTCGATGTGTGGCTTGTACGCGTATACGCCAGCCTCGTACTCCTTGAGTCGGTGCAGCTGGTCTTCCAATGAGCCCTGGAAACAACGACTTTTTAAGTATTTTTAAGTATGTATTTTGAGAAGAACTAAAAACAACGTGAATAAATGTTAATTTTACCAGTGTCTTGTAAATGAACAGCTATGTGAAACCCAGTCAAAATATATCGAAATCCGTTAAAGCGTTACTACATTGTTCCTAATTGTTAAAGCGTATTTGAGAAACGAATATTCCAACTTTCGCATGTGTTATAATAGGTAGTCTTATAGTTAGATGATTACAAATTCGGGAATGAATCTATTTTTCCTTGAATATTAATATTATATACGGAATAGTATTATTATACGGAATAGTAATATTAGTTTGGAAAGATCCAAACCCAAAATCAACGATGGATTCGTTTCAGGACCTTTACAGGTCCCATGGTCACGGCCTACTGAATATAAAAACATTTGCATTTCCAGTACAATTTTTTTATTATTTTTGTAAAGTAAAAAAGATACACTCACTTGTAGACCCATGCCAATGGCTGTGACGGCGTCCATCTGCCTCTCGATCCAGGGTCCAACGGCGTTGGCTTTCTCGGCGAACTGGCGACGCAGGTTCTCGTTGTTCTGCTGTTTGCGAAGCTCGGCGGCGAGAGTGCCGTCGCGCTGGGGTACCAGCTGCCTTACGTCTGACCACTTGCGATTCAGCTCCTGAAAAAAACGACGCATATTTTATGTATTATTGCTTGGAGATGCGTTTGTTCTTACTTAACTGGATGTTTATTGATACGAGGTATAAAATAAGAAGACTGCTTTTATTTTTCATGATGACTGCGACAAAAAGTCTCAACTTATGGGCAACTTACGTGGGCAGTAAGAGTTGTGTAGGGGTTTTCCAAACCACCAGGGATTTGGTGCTGCTTGACGATGGATTCGACTTGGTGCACTAAGTTAACGATGGCCTGGTACTCCTTGTCGGCCTCGCCAAGTGTAGCCTTGAAGCGTGCGTGAGCATCCATGAGGCCAGAGATCTCCTCGATGGTATGCACGATGAACATGTCTACCAGGTCCTCGCGGGTGCCATCCAACCTGTAATAATTACAAATTTTGATTGGTCTTCAGTACTATATTACTGTTATGATGTCTTTGGAGATCTCAAATTAATTGACGTCCTTCCATCTAGTAGCATCGAAGGTTAATGAAAAAACCATTTTATTATTCGAAGGCGGTTTAGCCCTAACTGGTTCACGTTCAATCAATAAATACAACATCAAGCTATACACTTTTCTTTGAATATCGCCTCAAGTGCAGCGGTGTTCGAGAACCGTCAATGTGTAGCTTGATGTACTGCTGTCTGTAGAATCGTTAGAAACACGGTTTTCCTAATGATTTTGACACAGTAGCGTCCTAAGGCCACACGGTGTCTAATGCGCAGCTGTGTACATTCAATATTTACAAAAAAATTCAAAATTTTTTACGAAAATCGTTACGGACACATGTACAGTCAATGCCCGTATAGAAGATACCTGACCCCTAACTGACCATTTGGTTCTGGGTAGATAAGTGTGAAGAAAGGTGTTAAAGAAACTTAACCCTTAACTTGTGAGCCGTAAAATTTATTTTGATATGACTTCCTGCATCTCAGCTCATTGCATCATTCGTGATGAATGATGTTTTAAGAAACTTTTTAAGCCAAATTGATCTTTAATTACATTACATAAATACGAATTTCAGATAAAAAAGCTGGAATTCCTTTATACTTCTGTTGAATGCGTAGGAAAGCTCTTAAAACAAAAAGGCCGGCTAGGGGGTCGAGTATCTTAGGGCGTTGACTGTTCGTCAGTAGAACACGCGATGGGTGAAAAAGATGGTCTCACCAGTTGTTGAAAGGCGCAGCACGTTTAGCGAACTCGAGATGCAGAAGGTCGATCTGCTCCAGCACGCGTTCGGCGTCGTCCAGGGCGTGACGGCGGCGCTGCGTGAGCGCGCCCAGGCGGTCCCACTGCGAGCAGATGCGCTGGCAGCGCGCGTTCACGCTCGCCACGTCGTGATACTCCAGAGTGCTGAAAAGGACGTTTCACGTCCGTAAATTAGACATGGTGGACTATGACCTAAATCCTTTTCAATAGCGGATATAGTGGAACATGGAAAATTTTCAATCCTTCTTCTTAAGCATCGTCTGTTTAAAGGTAAAACCGCATAAGTGACATTTTCCACAGTCTTTAATTTATTTAGCTATAGTAAGAAAATCACTATCTCTTTGCACGTGAAACTCAATTACAAAAAGCTATAAACTTATTAGAGTTTTATCTGCACAAAGATGGTGAATTTCTTACAAATGGTACAGGGTCAAGAGCACGTCAGGCTTGACAGACTTAAGACTCTATGCCGCTTATGATAAGAACGGTCCAAAGTACAAAGTGTCAAGCTTGACGTGCTCTTGACTGTACATAATTTATACATTTTTGTGGAAAATGTCATTTATATGGTTTTACCCTTAAGCAGACTTATACTGTGGTAAATTACGGTGATATAATAAAATTAATTGGAACAACATAATACTACCCCTCGCAATGTCGTGGCATGTGTTTGTATCAGAGACCTATCCAAACGTGTATTTTTTTCCATCCTCTAAGGTTAAATGTCAATCTCAAAAATCACAAACCGTCGTTTTCACGAAGATAAAACAATCTTCTTCTTTTTGAGAAAAAAGACTATTTAATTTTCGCACTGTTTATTATTTTTAGTCTAAATCAAAGAGACAAACCTATGAATCAGCATGGTTAAAGAAAAGAAATATCTTGATGATTTCGAATCCTTGTTCCAAACTAACCGTCTTTTTTAATTTATACTTAGTCATAAAATATCATGTTATTTATTTAATCTTACTTGAGTTCTTGGGCAATAGCAGCTATTTGCTCAACGCGGTCTTGGTGCGCGGCAAGATCAGACTCGAAGGCTTCGTGCTTCTTCTTCAGCGCCTTGATTTCGTTAAGCTTGCACTGACGGAAGTCCTGAGATTGGAGCATCTCTTCTTTGCCTGTTCACAGTATACTTTACAAATAAGCAAGGCTTACATAGTGGTACACTGTTATCACGTTTCTTTGCTATGGGAAATGAATGTACTGCTGATTTCCATCTTCACTTATTGCCTCAATCATGATCATACAAATTTCTTAATTTGAATAAAGTCTTGCGAAGGGTGCATTTTATTTCATTGAAAGAATGGAAAATAGAAAGACCTACTGTTTAATTGAATAGCATAATATGTGTGAAAATTGTCACACATTTGGAAATGAAACTATTTTCGGATATAAATCGTGTATGTTGCATTCACCCATGACCATTGGATCTGTAAAGAACCCGACACGTTGGTTCATTTCAAAAAACAGATATACGTGATTTACATTCATTTCTAATGTATAAAAATTTTGTGAATAAAAATTTACCCCTGGTCCAGTCCTCATGGATGTCGGCTTTATGTTTGAACTTTTGGGCGAGGTATTCGAGGCGTTCAAGGCGCATCATCTCACTGAGGAGCCATTCCTCGAACGCCTTTTCGGCAATTTCCAGGCCCTTCCAGGCTCCTGCGATGTCCTGAAAATGAGAGATCCCAAATTTCGTTACATAACTAGACTAGCAATGTAGAAAGATAGATTTTAATATTTTACTTTTAACAAGAAGTACAAATTGTGGATACTCACAGAGACCATCTTTCCTTCGGTGGGCATATACGCGGGGCGATTGCTAAGACGCAATTTGGTCTGCAGGGTGTTGAAGTTGGTCTCTAGCTTGGCCTTCTGCTCCACGCGGGGCGGCTTGTGTTTACGCCTATAAGTACGATAATCTTCCAGTTTCTTCTGGCAGCCGGCAAGTGAGTTGTCGGTCTGGCGGCTGTTCAACCAGGGCATCGTGCGACGGATCCATTCGAGAAGCTAAAATTGTGCGACCAATTTTGTAATATTGATGCTTTTAGGATCTCAGAGATAAATATAACACGAAGAATAATCTTACATCGCTGGCAAGACGCTCGTACTCTTCCATGAGGCGTTCGTTCTCTTGGTTGACTTTGAGAACTTTGCAAATACGGTTCGCGGCCGTTTCAGCCTGAAATTATACAAAGCATAGATTAATTTGTGATATTTTTTCTTTCCTTACAAAACTTGAGCAAAGTAAGACTTGTAACAATCGCTGTTAATTTAGGCTGCTAACAAATGAACTGCATGTGTGCAGTTAGCGGGTAGTCGTGACAACTGCATGCGGTCGTGATCAACTGCATGGCGTTGAGACTTCAACTACAAGCGTTGGCTGCAGGCGTTGTGAACGATAGTCCGAGAATTAAAAGCAGCAATTAATTGACATTCTTAAGAGGATATACTTACGTCTTTTTTCTGGCAGTAACTACTTGATTTTTTTGACTAACGGCAAAACTTAGTATATACTAAATCTATGGTCAGAATCGACTGCATGCAGTCTTTTTCGGTCACAAGAAGTTATGTAAATCAACGCATGCAGTCCCGTCTGGTAGCATCCTTAATTAAACTTAGTGTATTTGCAGGACCTTCAAGAATACCACTTATTAATTGTCTTTATCGTGTATTTCTACGGACAAACCTTTTGTGCGCCAGAAAAGCAGTGGTAGTAGGACGAGATGTAGGTCATGACAGCCCTCTCGTCCGGCATCGCAGTGTTCTGCAGATCTGACAAGCGGCACGCAAGCGACATGGGTTAGTATTCATGCGATGATAGTCATTATTTATTTGGAAATGCTTGAGTTTATGACCAATTACTCAATAGGGTTCCTTTTTTTTTTTTTCAAATCAGGTTACGTAATAACATACTTTTATTTACCTAATCAAATGTCAAGTCAAAACACAAGCATCTTAAAAATACTCAGTAAATCGCATTTTGTTAGTGATAAGGCTTAAATATATTGTTAAACATGTATAACATTTTCCACAATTTTTTGTTCTCGCCTTGTAGATTTCTATTAACAACATTGATAAATCGCTTTCTTGGAGAAATTAGACACGACATCTTCTGAATTTTTAATATATAAAGAATTTGTGTCTTTTCTCGTTACAGCTTAAGCGATCATGCTATAAGTGACACACAGTGGGCTGGCGTTAAGGGTAGCTATGGGGTTCAAACGTTGGGTTTGGCAGTAGCTCTCGGCAATAGCCAGATTAGGTATATACCTGTTGCGCGCCTTGGAAGGCGTGGTAGTAACATGACACATAGGTCATAATGGCGCGCTCATCCGGCTTTGGAGTGTTTATTAGGTCTGCAATTTTCAGGTTATAGAAAGTTTTATTCATTTGTGTGATAATTTTGTTTATAAATAAGTTCATTTTCTAAGATCTTTAATTACAGCTTTCAAAAACTTCTGTAAATTAAGTGTCAAGTAAAATAATAGCGATACACGAGTATTTAACCAATTACTATAGGCGTAAAGAACTGCATGAAACCACCTGTTTTGTAAACAACATTGTTCGTAAACAGGAATTATTTGATAGCGAAAAATGAGCTGAAAATTACCGTCGGGGTCTAACATTCTGGGGATGTCAAGGTACTTCTCGGCCACATCGAAGGCCGTGTTCAAGTTCTCCAGCGGATTATCCTTGGAGAGTTTGCTGTAGTCGATAAGGTCGGGTCTATGCCTGTGGATGAGGGCACAGAACGCCAGACCATCCTTGAAGGACAGGTGGAAGTTCTGAACGTTGACGTTCTTGTATGGAGCGGTTTTGCGCTGGCACCAGAGAAGCAGACCTTCCTATAATTTGATAAAGAATACAGTTTTAACTTGTGATTACATTTGCTGATTGTTGAGACAACAATGTTTTATGGTTCAAAGTTATCTACTTTCATTAATTTATTCGATTATGATAAATGTGTTTTCAGGTCTTTTTGGTTTCTAGCCAAGATTTCAGTGTTACGATGGTTACTTGCCTTAGCTGTCATTTCCTCTACTGAGATGTCTTGAATGGCAAATCGCAGGATGATAGTCCAGATCATACCCAGTGTCATTTTGAGGTTGCCGTCGACTATTTCTTCGGCACCAATCGATACCAGCTTTACGCCTGGAAATTTTATCGAAGGATCAATTGCAATCATATTTTTGACGTATTATTGATATCTACAGTGATGTGATAGCTAGTTTTATCAGTTGTAAATGGGCAAATTTTTTGAAGTTTCATAGAAAGTAATGAAATTACGAATCCTTCATTGCTAATATATAAAACACAGGAAGTATAAAGTAGGTTACATAAAAATACCTTTATCCTTAACGCATGGTTAACTTATTCAGTTCTTAAATAGACATACAAAAATTGATTCTTAACAGAATAGACGATGCATATATACATAGTTCTTGGTTGTTCCTGATTTTATATACAAGTACTAATGTGCTCTGGAAGTAAATAGATGTAAATATAATATAATATTATTTACCTTTGGAGGCGATGAAATCCAAAGCTTTGTTGACATTCGCGATTTTGTGGAAACGCATCTTGCCGCGGTCGGGCTTGGGCAGGGTTTCGCCGGAGATGACTTCCAGCAGCAACATGAGTTTCAGGCCATTACGGAAGTCCTCGTCGATGTTCTCGATGCCGGTGCCGGCTTTGCGGAGGTGGCTGTTGCACCATGCCGTAAAGGTCTGGAAACAAGGATAATAAGCGTTACCTTGCTTGGTCGTCTCTTTTGGAATATGAATTTTACCACATTTTGGAGTGCACATGAAACGTTTGTTCATCAATAAGTTAAGAGTTGAGATTGGAAGTGAAACTATTTCTTGTCGGATCTATACAAATAATGGTTAATTCGACAAACCAACCTTTCGAGCCCTTTAAGAGTCTCATCAAATATATGCGATTTAATGTAACAATCGCGAAAACCCAAGAACTCATTAGTTATTGTGACGTCATTACTTTGTGTAAGAAATATGTAGCAATTGTGATAAATAACAAAAATAAATACTTCTTAAGAAGTATAATTTATGATATGATAATTTTATTGTAAATACATTTAAAGGTATCTAAACATGAAATAGGAAGTGTGAGTTTTATTCAAAAATGTTTTTCGTATCATTTTCAATTCAATGTGAACCTTGAAGAGTGTAAAAGTAGCTGGAAATGAAATTTGAAACGCACACAAATGGCGTTAATCAATACTGCAGTTGCACGTAGGGGAGAAGTCGAGGGGTTCAACCCTCCGAATTCGCTATTGGCATTGGCAGATCGTACGTCTAATGTCGAAAATATGAGTAATTGCTAACAGGTCAGATGTAGTCGCATGTTCTACAGACAGTCTAAATATGTACCTAGCATGCCTAGTCATACGATTCTAAATACCTAATTTCAACTCAACGACTTCGACATAGATATCGTTGTTTCAACTATTTATAATGGGCTGGCAACAAAGCCTGTGCAATTCTTGGTGATTTTAATCACTCTAAATCAATTTAAACACAATAAGAATCCACACAAATTTGATTCAAAGTGTATTCCATAGCATTTAAGTTTATTTGAAAAGAGCAATCCCTAGAGTTTCTTGCTCGTTCTTCTCAGGGAGGTCAGCGTAGTGAACGAGCAGTAGCTTAAATGTGACGATTTCAAGTGTAAATTTATTTTACCTATGGAATAAATAATCTTTGACTTTGACTTGACTTTAAATAAAAAGAGAACTTTTTTCTTTTAATTAATGAAAAACACCCAAAGTGGTAAATATTCATCATGACAATGCCAAACCACTATATCTATATAGTGACACAGACACATCTACACACATCAAAAGTGTCTAGGGATCACGTACGTTTAAGAGTATTGCTGCAATTAGGGTTAATTATATTAACTTTTTTGTATCGCTATTGATAGTTTTTAGTGAGTTTTAACATTTAAATAAGGAATATTGTTTAAAATTCGATAATAAGAAGAAAATCGATTGTCAATGTGGTTTTGTATAAAAATGAGTTATAGCGTTTTGACAAAATCATTACAATATCTGCATCGGAACCGAAACAATTTACATTATTATGGAGAGACGACATCATTTAACCCGAGAAGTGATGATGCGAGCCGTCGGAATGTTGGAAGCTGGTTCCAGGCAACGTGCTGTGGCTTTCACTCTTAACACTACACAGAGCGTCATAAGTCGCCTCTGGACGCGCTATCGCATAACGGGCAGCGTGGCCGAGCGACATGGAGGACGATCTCGCATCACGACTCGCAGACAGGACCGGTATATCCAAAATACTGCTCGACGGAATCGTACCATGACCGCCATGATGTTGGTTACGAGGCTCCACAGCTCCTTAGGCTTGCTAATAAGCGATCAAACAATCCGAAATCGTTTACGTGAAGTGGGTCTGCGATCCCGAAGGCCGCTCAGAGTTCCACCTATTGCACCCTGCAATCGCAGGACCCGTTTACGATGGGCTCGCGAACACAGAAACTGGGAGGAAGAAGACTGGCGCTATGTGCGCTTTTCGGATGAATCCCGCTTCGGTATGAGACCGGATACAAGACGTACTCGAGTTTGGAGAACATCTGGACGTCATGAACGTTTGAGATATTGTCAGGAAGTTCATCCATATGGTGGGGGAACAATAATGATATGGGCCGGTATTTGGATCGGCGGAAGAACCGATCTCATTTGGATCAGGGGTAACCTCAATGCTCAAGTTTACGCAGAGAGGATTGTTTCAGATGTTATCATCCCTTTGCGAGGCCAGTTGGGTGATTCATTTCAACTAATGCATGACAACGCACGTCCACACACGGCTAGAGTCGTAACACGCATTCTTGCCGAAGCTCGTATCAACGTTCTGCCGTGGCCTGCTCAATCGCCAGACCTCAATCCAATTGAGCACGCATGGGATATGCTTGAAAGAAGAGCTGTGCCGAGTATGCATACCGTACATACTCTACAACAATATTTTGACGTGTTACAAAACACATATGGGCGGCCATTCCTCAAAGTGATTTTGATGAACTCATCTTAAGCATGCCAAATCGCTGTAATTGTGTGATTCGTGTTAATGGTGGAAATACAGATTATTAATTTTCTTATCTTTACAATAAAAATGAGCAAAATCATCATTTTCGCCATTTTTTTGTCATTTAATTGACGCCGTTAATTTGAGTTTTTTCCCACAATTTGCAAAAACATCAATTTTAGTTTATTTTTATTATTAATATAGGGGTAAGCGGTTAAATAAAACATAAGCATTAAAGTAAGAAGTCGTCCTGGAAGACTGGATTTGGTAAATATTGCTTAAATAATTTTTATTTCAAAAATATTCACTTGATCCCTAGACACTTTTGATGTGTGTATGTGTCTATAGAAAGTCGCCAAAAACTATTGCAGTTTTTTGGTCGGTTGGGATGTGTGATGATGTGTTTCCCTTCAGCTTAGAAAGGTAACAAATAATAAAGAAACTCGAAACGTAATGTTGTACTTAAACAGGACTTACAACTATTAATTAATTTGTATAAAAACTGTAACCACAAAAATCCGCCATTTAATTATTTTTCAGATTTGATTTGATTTGATTATACTTACTTGACTAGCCTTGACTTTGATAACGAAGAGACCATCAGACGGAACTAAGAGCTGTATTATACAAGAAAGGACAGGATTTGTATGAAATTTTAATCCTAAAATTATACGAAAGATGATAAAACATTGTAGATCAACATGGCCATTACATAATTAATTAAAGTTTGATATTTAGTTTTTGCTCGAACTTTTTATACAACCGAAAATGTTTTTTATAACGGTAGCTCCGCGTATTAGTTGGAAATCGAACACTATTTTTTAGTCACAACTTTTGACTTTGACCGATTAAATGACGTCAACATATATGTAGGTACTATGTATTTCCATTGTTCATTGGTGATATTATACACTTAGCCATGAATAATGGAATATGATGCAAACTGTGAACTTACATGCATTTTTTGTATGATTATGTAGTTGGTGTAAAAGAATAATCTGGTAATACCAAGGTGGTACATTGAGATTTTTTCAGATTTTTTAAAGAGGTTCTCCAACTGCATAAGGTAAATTAAACAAACTTGGTGACACTTCAGATATACCTGTCATCATCCTTTTTTAATACACACTTACGTACGTCTTCGGTACTCTTTAAAGTATTTTACCAACTTCGGAACTCACTCTGGTCTACTACCCAGAACACCCAGACCAGAATTCAATGTCTAGCGCCCACAGTTCGAACCGTTTGGCCGCAGTAGTCGTCATTTCCTGTAAGTCGCAAGTAATGGCAAAAAATTCAAAATTCAACACTTCCTTGCTTGCAATTCAGGATTGAGCAAGTCACGCATCACCTTCTGAAGATGACTCAATGAAGTGAACCACAGAAATAAACTTAGAAGTGAACATAACGTTATTCTGTTGTGCAAATAATTTCTTTTAAACAGCGTAACGTTATTATTGAGGTATAAGTGAGTGTGCAGCATATGCATTCATGGACATATTTAGAGGCATTTCCACGTCTTGCGCAAGAAAAGCCGAGACTCGATGGGGTCTCGAAAATATCGGTAAAAACGAGACTTTCAAGACCATTTCGAAAGTAGATTTCCATACTTATTGGCTAGACGTTTAGACAAAACATGAGAATTCTTTATTAATTCAAATAGCAAAATAAAAAAAATGAAAGTTTTTTTAATTTATAGCCTGCACGAAAGAAACAAAGGGCATTTAATGTAATTTCATATAGACCTGCACTAGAGCTGATTTTATTACTACCTATTACTAACTTTTGTTTTTATTTTATTCTTGGAATTAATTAGAGTAACCAGAATAAAAAAAAATATTGGTTTAGTGAATTTTTTAATACTATTTCGTTATGTGACTTCAAATTTTAACGCTTCGAAGTTTCGGGTCTCGAAATTTTCAAGATCGAGATGCCCGGGATGGTATACACTAATATGAACTACTATTTAAAAAAAGAATAACTTCAATCGTCTTTTGATTCCGATTAAAAAAACGTTCGGTATATTTGGTTAGTGACTCAATGAACAGTGTTATAATAATTCAACCTTTTTTAGCGTTCCTTTAATTATGTCCTTGAGTATAACATTTTATATAGGTAATATAATGGAAATGCGAAGTGTTAAAAAATATTGGATTGTGTAGATTATGATCAGTGACGGTTTAGTTTCTCGTTAAATCACTTTAATGCGCCCCGGTTGTTAAAAGTAAATATTTAATATCATATTTCCTTTTTAGTGACGAATTCTAAACGAAACAATGACTATTTCCAATCAATTTTCGTATTGTATTAGATCATTAAAAAGAACGTGTAGTATAAACAATTACATCACGGAAACATCATTTCATTTAATAGTATCGCCGTACAATGGACTAGGTAGTCTATTTTTAATTTATTAAATAGAAACACTATTATGAAATTCACTACTGTAGTACCGGTTTGTGCCTACCTAAAAACGGCAGAGAAATGCACGTGGAATAGGTAGGTTTTGAATAATACATTTATTTAGGTATTATTTTAATACAATAAAAAAATTATTACTATATTAATTTAAACCCTAGATTCAATGTAAGATTAATAATAGTAATAATGTGACAAATAAATGAGATAATTACCTCTCAAACGGATGGATGGATTCCTTGTAC